ATGCAATTGAAGAGTAGATAAAATTGTAAATCAAAAATTCAATAAAGGGTGTATCTCAAAAAATCAAAAATCATAAATTTAAATCAATGTGAATAATTGTATATAACAGATAATAATCTATTAAATTTGAACAGTGATGTTTAAAAATATATAAAATATTTGTTATTAAACTGTGATAAGTTGTGAATATATGTATCAAGTGTGAGTGATTTTTGTTAATAAATAGTGGATACAACAAACAATGTGTAACTGTTTAAATAAAATAAACTTCTATAGGTGTGTATGTGAATAGTCCAAATCTTTTAAAGTCTTTGAAATTCCATAAATATAAGACACTTCAACAGTGAAAATTCAGTGCAGTAATGTGTCCAACGAAAATCCAAAAAAGAACCGAAGAAAAAATGAAGAAAAAATGCGGAGAAAGTCCCCTCAAGGGAATGCACTCACCAAATCAGAAGATGTTAAACCCGTTTGTTTCATCAAGGTAAGCCTGGAGCTCCGTCTTTAACTCCCACGCTTAATCGGACTTCAAGGAAGGAAAGGTCTCCCGTTTCTCCGAGGTGTTTAAACGAAATATCCTTGCTTTTAGGGGTCCCCCCGGTGGGATGTCCAATCAGGTGATAAAGATAAAGCATACGCTCATAGCGTAATAAAATCCAGGTTTATTTTGATCACACAGCATATACAAGTTAAAAAGAGCACTGAAATATATTTTAAAAAAGCCGGCTGATCACTTTAAGCGTTTCGTCACACAGACGTTTTCAAGGGATGGCAGGTCTATCCACATCATTGTCCAGTCTGTTTAAATAGTTTTTTTTCTCTCATTAATTACAAACATACGTGAGCACCACCAAGGGTAGATTAACCACAGATTGGTGCCGGGTTGGTCTAAAAGATGCACGAATCTCTCAGTTAATGATGTTCATATCCCCTTGAAACCGTAAAGTGATTACGGCACTAATGAAATTATTTTTTAGGGATAAGAGTCTATAGGTTGGTTAATAGTATACAAATAGAAGGAAACAGGAAAACAATACCATAAGGGAATCCAATACGATATGGGAATATGTGATCCAATTTTGTCCCTAAGCATATCTGACAGATGTGCGGTACAATTAAATCCTTAAAATATATCTGGCAAATACGATAAAGGAATCTTCATTAGTTCCATCAGTAAAAGCTATATATACACATCTATAAATATACATAACCAAATACAATAAAATTTCATAAAAATGTCATTATTAGTACTACCTAATAAAAACATATAGTTTTAAAACCATATCAGTAGAATCATAGATAGTTGTGTTAGTAGAGGCGTATAAAAGAACCTTTTTCTTAAAAAGCAGGAGTAGGGAGAGATCTCGATACAGATTGCATAATCAAATAGAATAATGCTAATTGAGCAAAAACGAGAACTCAGGTTTAATGTGTGAGTTCTGTTACAAGGGTTATTATGATCCATGAATATATCTACGTGGAGAAGGAAAGTGTTTATCTATAGATTGGGGCATTAATTTCTATACATATATATTAAATTCTAGTTCGGAACGATATTTTATTAGAGAAATTACTCAATTGAGTATATGCTGCTTGTATATGCTTTTATATGCTGTGTGATCTCTAATAAAATATCGTTCCGAAGACCTGCCATCCCTTGAAAACGTGTGTGACGAAACGCGTCGGGGGAGGGCCTATTCTCACGTCATTTGATCCAGTCTAAAGGAATCACGCTTAAAGTGATCAGCCGGCTTTTTTAAAATATATTTCAGCGCTCTTTTTAACTTGTATATGCTGTGTGATCAAAATAAACCTGGATTTTATTACGCTATGAGCGTATGCTTTATCTTTATCACCTGATTGGACATCCAACCGGGGGGACCCCTAAAAGCAAGGATATTTCGTTTAAACACCTCGGAGAAACGGGAGACCTTTCCTTCCTTGAAGTCCGATTAAGCGTGGGAATTAAAGACGGAGCTCCAGGCTTACCTTGATGAAACAAACGGGTTTAACATCTTCTGATCTGGTGAGTGCATTCCCTTGAGGGGACTTTCTCCGCATTTTTTCTTCATTTTTTCTTCGGTTCTTTTTTGGATTTTCGTTGGACACATTACTGCACTGAATTTTCACTGTTGAAGTGTCTTATATTTATGGAATTTCAAAGACTTTAAAAGATTTGGACTATTCACATACACACCTATAGAAGTTTATTTTATTTAAACAGTTACACATTGTTTGTTGTATCCACTATTTATTAACAAAAATCACTCACACTTGATACATATATTCACAACTTATCACAGTTTAATAACAAATATTTTATATATTTTTAAACATCACTGTTCAAATTTAATAGATTATTATCTGTTATATACAATTATTCACATTGATTTAAATTTATGATTTTTGATTTTTTGAGATACACCCTTTATTGAATTTTTGATTTACAATTTTATCTACTCTTCAATTGCATGCTTCAAACCTCGATCCCAACGTTTGATTTCTCTTATATCCACTTTTGAAGGACGGTTAGCGCTGTACGTTTTAAAAACACATTCTATTAGGGGCCGAGTGCCTTATTTCAGCAGCTTCCCATACCCTTCTAGAAACAACTAAAATTCACAAATTTTTATCAATATTAATTTTTATTAACAATAATATTTTAACAACAATTTATAATTTTAAACATCTTATCATCTGCAACCTCCATTAGCGCAAGTTCTTGCAATTACTATAGTGTTTACCCATGGACTAGCCCAGGGGGCGCTAATTAACAATTCACCTCAGGCAGAAGTCAGGCTAGAACACCCCTGAATACTTTCTTAGGAGTTGGAGACAGCTTCTTTACCTGCATATAAAGGATTCTATGCTAAGAGCGGTCTGTGAGTAAAACCTATATTGCTGCAGACTTTACTTTCTGTCTCACCCAGTTTTACAGCTAGATACTTTAAATATAGCACAAGTCTGTTATTGTGGCGTCTATGATACTAGGGTATCAAAGTGATCGTGTTTATGCAAAATAGTTGATACCCGTCACAAATGGTTGAATGTGAGGGACAGAGCGCTGTGTACTTTAAGAGATGTGTTTTATTTCATGTGAGTTTTCTGATCTCCCCTGTGAACTACAAACCCTGAGCACTTCTGGGATTCAGAGCTATTAAAATAAAATTAGTCTGAGTGTATTTTACTGACTGACTTTAGGCTGGGTTCACACCTGAGCAGTTTTTTTCAGCTCGTTTTTCAGCTCGTTTTTTCATTCAGTGAAACGCGCATTTCACTGGCGGTATGATTTTTTTTTCTTTATTTTCTCTATTTCAAATTTTTTTGTTTTTGTTTCATTTTTAAACTTCCCGCCGGCTCCGTCCCCCTGCGACGCGGCTGCTCGCAAGGGACGGAACCCGGAAGTCGGCAGACACCGAAGGCACAGCGAGGATTGCAGACAAAGAAAGACCTGTACGCTGTATTCCCGAGTGTGGCTCTGGGTTACCGCTTTGTTAACCCCAATCCACACTCGGGAATACCAATGGAAACGGGTGGCAAAACGCCCCAAAGAAGCTCCTGTACTTCTTTGGGCGTAGGGCTTTTTGCAGTGCGTACCTACGCGCTGTAAATACCCAGGTGGGAACCATGCCCATAGGCAATCATTGGTTTTCACATGTTGAGCGTTTCACAGTGTGTAGGAACGCGCTGTAAAACGCCCAGGTGTGAACCAGGCCTTACTGTCTTCACCTCAGTGCAGATGCTGATTTTGGAAGTAAGCAAGCAGTAAACATTGATCTGGACCCAGGCAGTGGAAATAGTTTTCTTCTCCGTCTCTGGTTAGCATATGACTTTCTGAGGGTTAGAGTTCAATATTTATTTTTACCGGAACTCATTCCTTAAAGATTCAGTAAGAAAAACATAGCTTTCCATACCCTAACTTTAAAAAAAAAAAGATAAAGAATGAAATTTGAAAGTTGCACCTGCTGTAAAAGAAACCGACAGCCTAACTGAAGTTCAGAGCATCTCAAAGCTGAAGTTTCCGTGCCAACAGGTCTGCAATGCACAGTATATGGAAAGTGAGAAGAAAACATGTCACCTACATTGCTAATCAATCTATTCATACAATCTGCACTGTTCTTTTCATAATAAAAAGCCATAGATGATGACCTGTATTGTTTATGTCCATCTCCGGTAGAAAATATATCTGAGTGTAAGATATAGCAATGAAATGACCTGCCTTGATGTGCAATTGTACCCCAGAGTAATGATAAATCAACACACCATGAGGTCAGTTACTGTTTTGCAGATGACAAAAATAAGTAGTCAAATCAAAGACAAACACATACTTTTCAGGCATTACTTCACCATTTACTAAAGTAGAGAGGGGGAGAGGATGAGGTATCCATTGCTGGCTAATAACAATGCACATTGAGCCTTGACCCTGCACTGTCAGAGTAGATTAAAAAAAAGGAGTCCAATGTATGCAAATATGGAGAAAAACAAAGTAAAAATGTTAAATATATAAAATAACATTTTTTTTTAATTTTTTTTTAAATTGCAGCATCCGACTGATTTTTGGTGGCTGCAAGAGTGCATATCTGCCATGGCTGAAAGATCAAGAGGGAAGTATGATGCAACTATATCATTTATGAACTTTTACTACATGTATACAGTAGAGAAAAAAAAAGAAGAGGTTGGGAAATAAGAAAATAAGAAAAACGGAAAACATTTTGAAAAATATTGAAAAAAATATGAAACCAAAAAGAAGAATAGGAAAAAAAGAAAGAGAGAGCACAAGAAAAAAAAGCAAATGGTAAAAGAAATTAAAAAAAAAAAACCACACAAACAAACCATAGCGCAACAATGACAAAACAACAGTAATCATGCAAGCTTAGAAATAGGACAAAAAAGTTACAATACCTTTTTCATGTTGGTCCCCACATAACTTTTTGCTTCCTCTTTAAACTGTGGCAATCTGAAATAAAACCCATGAGAGAATACAATGTATATACATGTATAAAATATGATTACATAGAGATTACAGATGGTGTGCATACATGACTGAATGAGCTACAGTTAGTACACAATACTTTTAGTTCTTCCTTTCGGTGCTTCCTTCACTGCTAATTAAAAAACGATCTAAAAGGGGAATGGAGAAATATCAGATTCTAGCAGTGTCAGCCTGGCATTTGGCATGAGTGAGAACACCACTTAAATTATGAGTTGGAGCTTGTGGTCGTGACACCCAGAGATAATTGAGTTTTGAAGGTCAGTGTTTTGCAGTTGCAATCTAGATTTTTCACCTGCCTGATTTGTAATGGCATATAATTAAAGGAAAACATGATTTCCTGAATGTCAGATCTAATTTATTTTAGTTCCCCAGTTCCTATCACAACAAAAGGAACTTTTAGTACTTACTGTAATTTGCACAACATATCTGGAGTACCTTTTGCATGCTGGGCCCGCAAGAGAAAGTGAATGGTAGCAAAGGTGTATCCATTCTGTTGTGTTAAACCAGTATTTCTATTAAAGGTACTAGTGACGACTATGGCACGTCACAGTTCCATAGTAATGTAATTTATTTCCTAATGGAAGGATGCAGTCAACAACATGGCTGCCACCACTGTGTATAGGTGACAAAAACAAGTGTGTCTGTATTATTTACTTCTAACGAATGGGTTGAAAGAAATTTATTACACGAAACTAAGGTGTGCAGTGAACAGCTTTTAGAGCTCTGGACAAAATAAGCCAAAAAGTTGACTCGATTTACTCAACCCTAACTTTTTTTTTGGTTGACTGGTTTGCTTTTGTCACTATGTCACTTACCCTCGCTCTCTGCTCTCTGTATCACTTCTATATCATCTGACTGGCAGCTGTAAAAAACTTCCTGGTAGTGGCATTTTGGTAAATCAGGCTTTCTACATGCAAGTGACAACAAGGAGCATGCAGTGGGTGTTTTTGGGAATGTTTTTTTTCAGAATGAACGATTTTCTACATAAAAGTTGTCAAAAAGGGTTTCCAGACTGCCAACAAAAGTAATGAGGATGGACTGGTCTACTATAGCTGTGAGTAAAAGGAAAACTCAAGTCCCAAGCAGGTAGCCTGTGTTCATTATATACTATTCAAGAACTGGTGGCTGTAGGTCAACAGCTGCCACGAGAAGCTGAATGAAATGCCCTGTAATGGGACAGATTAACATAAATGTAGGAGAACATCTCTTCCAAAAATATGTGTCAAATACTTTCTGTTCTGATGGGTTCCAATGAATGCTTGCAGATGTTTCCAGAAGCACACATAAAAAAAAGATCAGGTTTTGCATTGAGTTTATTGATCCTTTTAAATATAAGCAACTGGTGCATTATTGCTCCACTGCTACTGGAGGTTTGCATTCCCTTTTACCTGTTTGTATACATGTATAACAAGGTAAGCGTGCCTACATGCCACTAACATATGAATGTATTGTTGTCTCTCTCCTCCGTGATACCGGTTTTAGTATTCACAAAGTACTAAAGTTGACGTGTACGGTACAGATGGCCAGCGTGATGCAGCTGGTGACTGTTTAGTTTGCTGGGTCACGCAAGATGCCACTTAAAGCTTTGCTTAACAAATTTCTAATGACCGGTTGACAGCCACGCAAATTTTTCTATGTATATCATATCGACCTCACAGACTATTCTTTTCCTAAAAGAACCAAATGTTTTTCAACAGGCTACCTAGGCAGCATAATAAGGACTGAAAACTATACCACTTAGGTGAGTGCTGTGCACGTTTCCAGAGCACATTTTGGAAACAATATAAACCTGCAAAGGGATCCCAGTACATCATCTTTTGAAATTGCGTACAACTGCAAAAAATGAAATATAAAAAAAAAAAGGAGAGTTCTGTATTTGGAGAGACATTGTCACTTTGCCTTTCCAGGGCAGAGTAGCAGTTCCTCCTTATAGCCCAGGTCCTTAGCATGGTATACTCATTAATCCAAACTACCTCACCAATGCCCCGCTGCTGAAGTCCACCGTGAGTAAGCTCTGGTGTCAGATCTTACATGGGCGAGTGATGTTGCTGCCCTTACCCCATGTGACAGTGTTGGGCCTGGCTATTAGCCATTGCCACCTGCTCATGCTGGAAGTGAGCCCAACAAATCAAGGGTTTTGGATGGACAAGGCGACAAGAGGTTGTGGATTGTGAATGTGCAAAGTGACACTGCCTCTTTAAACCGGATATGATAATGCTGTTTTCCTACTGGAAATGCCATTTGCCTATGTGTTATGCTGACCCACTGGCTTCAATACTGTCACTGATTGGGAACAAGTATGCAGAACAGGAAAGTCCGAAAGCCTTATCAGCATTCTTGTTTCTGGTCACAGTCCTAAAATATTATAGCAATAGTGCCAACATGGCAACCAACAATCTGAAAAGGAAAAGACAGTAAAGTCAGCCTTCATGTGTCTCTCAAGGCAGCTTTTTTATTAAGCAGAATTTCATAAAAATATAATGTAGCTGCATCTCTGTCCTAGCATCTCTACCGGGAGGGAGCCTGGCACTGCAGAAAGGTATTACCCCCATGCTTGCTTTGTGTTTGTTTGGATGAGAGAGCAGCATGGGGTTAAGTTTGGGTGTAGATTTATCAATATCTCAATGAACCTTAAACATAACTTCTATTGCATAAAACAGCTACTGTTCATTTACAAATATGTGAGGAACAGTTTCATTTTCTTTTCTAAAATTACAGTACACAAAGTTTAGAAGAACTGAATCCCTTAATCGTTACCAATTTTAACCTCTTTTGGCCCTGATAACTACTGCAACATATTGTAACAGTGACCCTACAAGGGTCATGCAGCGCCTGCTTTTAACGCCAACCACATTTTGGTCCATCAGCATCTGACACTTATGCAATTTAATTTAGGGAACTGAAACGTTTAATGTTTTGAGTGAGCCTTCTCTTTTTTCCTAAAGGGGTTATATTTCCAGATATATTTCTAGAGTCCATATGGCATAATTGCTCCATATTAAAAACTTCTATTCCAACCCTTTTTAAAATATTCATCTGCGGTGTGTAATCTGTAATGAGGGTGATACAGGGTTTACATGCAGCATGTTAGTCTGGCAATAAAGAAAATCCCACGTACGCCAAGCACTAGGGACATTTAGGCGTTATGGACCATGGTAACATAACTTTAAAACCCTATAGTCATAATTTGCACAGATCAATGAGTAATGAGTGTTATGTGGTTAATTATGGAGGCGTTAAAAATCACAAATCACAAGGTGGACTTTGACATCATTTGAAGTGACTTTTTCTTCTGGAGATCAGCCACCAAACAATGAACTTGTAGTTAACAGCATATCGTCAAGGTCCTACAATCATTTTTATTTAATTTTTTCGTCCACTCTCCAGGAAGACAGATAACTACTGACACATCCTGCCCTGTGGACCCCAAATAAGTATAGAATATGTCAGTCCTCAGGGGGCCGTGTCAGCAAGGCACAAGCAAACACAAGAGGGTTTACCTTGAGAAGAGCAGCTGCACCATGTCGACAAGAGTATGCTCTGCAGATTTTCTCAATAACTCTGCGAAGACAAAAACAAATAACACAGGTGTCATTACGTGGTGTGATATTATCAAGAGGCTTCAGCAAGCAGTCTCCCCTCCATTTCTTGTTTACAAAGGATTACAGCAAATTTATTAAAACCAGGCCCAGTCCTCACCCCCTGGTCTAGCAGTGTTCAATGCAGGGAACACTAGATGGTGCTGTGGAGCTTGCTATGTAGAACAGAGGCTCATACGCAGCATTCTAAATCTCAGCATTGGACAACTCATTGGAATGAAAGAATTAGCCGTATTGTGCTCAAAAACTTAAAAAAGTAAAAGGCTGTCAAACATGTGCAATGATGAGTGGACAGTAGGGACCATAAACCATATAAAATGCACTGCAAAATACTAAGTGCTAAAAGTAACATTTTCCCTTTCATAGAAGCGGGGATGTCAGATTTATGCTAGGAAAATCTGTAGGAAATTGGAAACAGAACAATACCGCATGTTAGTGTGTCATAAATACATCAATTATATAATACTATTGTAAGGGCATGGCATAAAGGTCTCTATCTGATATCATGAAGCTGTGAAAGCTTGCATTAAACGCCAATAAAATAAAGGTAAAATTAATAAAAAAGGGTTACTTTTGTTATTTTGTACATACAAAGAAGTGAATTATATGTACATTTTATGGACAACAAAGTAAGCCTCCTCATGCTATAACTACCAGTAATAACAGTGAACCTTAAAGTAAACATGTTGCCTTAGTATGATCCAGAAAAACAAAAAATAATTAACAACCAGAAGCCTACATCACACACTAAAACCGTTTTGTGCAGGTTAAGAAACGAATTACCTTTACTTCTGCCTCATGAAAGCTACCCAATGCGAAGTGCAGGAGTATGTAGGAGTAATCATTTATGTAGGAGTAATTTTGGGATAGTAGATTAAAGGATGCAGTTGCTAAGCACAACAGCACTCCTCATTCACTGCTAAGCACAAATGCAAAAATCTGCCCTTGCCCTAGTTTTCATAAATCGCTCTGTCCTTGCCTGTGTGCTATAACCCTTTGATGTGCTCTCATAAAGACACCTTTGTATTAGCAAACTATTGTGAACAATCCCCAGGTAAAAGATGTGTTCTAGCCTCATTTAGAATCCTTACAGCGACACTAAACTTAAAAGTTAAATCTTAAAGTTAAATCTTAAGAATGTATTCAAGTACCTTAACTATTAACAAAAATGTATCTTATTTGTGCATCACTCGGCTGTAGATCCCCAAATCTCTGAATTCGTGCCAACACTGTCCTTCCTTCTGGAGGGTGGCTACTTTTGTTCCCCGTGGTCCCTGTGTGTGTGTTGTAAAGTAGCCACCGCTCCAAGCTCACTCCTGTGATGGACTAATAAAGTAGTTTACCTATTTGTATTTAGAGTGTAGTCAATCCCGAGAGTGCGCTTGGAGCGGTGACTACTTTACAACACACACACGGACCATGGGGAACAAAAGTAGCCACCCTCCAGAAGGAAGGACCAATTCAGAGATGATTTGAGGATCTACAGCCGAGTGATACACAAATAAGATACATTTTTGTTAATAGTTAAGGTTGTTGAATGTATTTTTAAGATTTAACTCTTGAGTTTAGTGTCATTTTAAAGTGCATCTAAACCAAAAATATAATATATTGCAGTTTCCCAATCAGATGTGGTGGCTGCATTACTTTCCTTTAACCTGTATTTTCACCTGATGATCCTGTCAGTAACACATGTGCTATCCTGTGTTGACTACACGGACCCTACTTTATCCATAGAGGAGCAACATTGTCAGCCTAGACTGCCGCCCTGAATTTGACTACAAACGCCTCCTTATCTCCATTACTTAGGGAGAAAGGGTTGTGTAGTTCACCGAAGATAGCTGGAATAGCTGAACTTATAAGGATACTGGATTTCTATCAGGACCAAGAGGCATTTTTCTGTTCTTGCAGAAAATGTATTTGGCCTGAAAACCACATCTAAAGGCTGGTTAGCTGCAATATATTACAACTTTGTTTTTGGGTTTAGATATACTTTACTGTAATGCTACAGTCTGTTTATCGGAAAGAGATGAGCAGAAACTTCTGATTTTAGTTTTTTTGTTTAGTATGCTATTTAAAAAACTTACAGAACTCTTTTTAGGTATATGTATAGGGTCAGCATTATAAGAAGGGTCCCAAAGTCAGACTTGCAATGAACTGTACTGGAACACACCTCTTTGGCATCCAAACTGGAGTTCCAGTGCAAGTTTGAGTCCCTCTACTTTTTTCACTAATCAAGCATCTTTCATAGTAGGTGCCGGTAAAGAAGGCAAAGCTGTGAGCCCTAGCTTAGCTGTAGGCCTCATTTCCTGTACATGTATGTAATATGTAGTTTTTAGGGTTCCGTCATTCTTCTATTTCTGCATTATAACGCACAATACAGAAACCATACAAATGTTCAGGCTGAATATCCAACTTACCGCTCAGTCTCATCTCAAAACAAATGCGGAAACAGGATTGCATGATTTCACAAACGGACTCATTGGTGAGATGAGCTCCTACTGGCGTCAGAAGCAATGTGCGTAGGACCTTAAAAAACAAAGTACATAGCAAGTAAACAAACTGTCCTGTTTATTCCATAGAAAATGATTTAAGCTATAGGAACATTCAGAGATGTTATCCGTGTTTTCCAACTCTAACACTGAAATAGAAGCAGTCAGCTTCGAACATACAGTATATAGGGAGAGCGGATTTAGAGCTTAGCCATTATTTTCTGATTAAGCGAGTCAACATGCTCCTCATAGTAAACAGATAGCCTATGCTTACTCCTCTTTCAATTACGCTGATGAAGTTCAGCAACCTTTGCATTGCCGATTCCCCACCCAGCCCTTCATAGGGACTCTGCCTGATACATCTCGACAAATGCCTGAAATCAATTAATTGAAACGTTTAATTATCTTTTATTTGAAAAAGCTTTTACTTCAGGTACATGAGCCCCCTGTTTAAAAATAACATTAGGCGCAAAGCTCTAGCCGAGTCAAAACATGGTCCGTGTCTCTGTGTAACAGGATACAAAGAGCTTAAGCAATTCATCTAATTGCCCCCTGGATAAGGACAGGGGGATGCGGTCCCTTCTCTCTCGAGTTACCTGCAGGATTTTCATCAGCACAACTTCATCACTTGCTGGGTCTGTGCCAACAAAGCGGGCGTGTGTAACTGCATCTGCCATGTTCTCAATTCCTTCAGCAGTACCATCGTGGACCGGATCTGAAGTAGATAAAAAAAAAGATAATGTAATCTTTTAATGTGGGAGAAGAAGTCGCAGGTTTGGAAAAAAAAACATGCAGCAATAAACACCATATATTCCAGTTCTAAAACATTGCTTAACCCTTTCGCTGCCAAGGACGTACGGCGTACGGAGCTACAAAAGTGCTTCCAGCTGGCCAGCTCAGTATGCCGTACGGACCTGGCATTTACAGTTCTACTATAAGCTGATTATAAGCATAAGCTATAAGCAGCTTATAGTAGAACTGTTCAGCAGACTGTCCCCTTTAAATTAATAGCTGTCATTAGCGGCTCACAAGCCGCTGATGACCGCTATTTTCAAAAATACCGGGCGCCCCCCCCCACAGCAGTTGAAAATCAAATCAATAGGAAAAAATTGCAGAAAATTCAAAAATGGCTTGGCCAGCTGATTTGAAAAATGTTCCGGGGGCTTGGCAGCGAAAGGGTTAAAAGGCACAGGTCATTATCAATATAGCGTTGCCTGGAAATCTTAATAAACGTACAAATTCCACTAAAAAAATTTGAAAAATATATTTCATTTACATGACTTGTAGAGAAAATAAAATAGTTGAATTATTCAAGAATACTGCAGAAAATGTTGACTTGTTGGCAACTGCAGTCAGTGTTTGATGCTTCATATGTACAGCGCAGAAACAATTAACAACAGATTTCTCAATTACCATTAAAAAAAAATAATTTATGAAAAGAGGACCATTCCTAATTTTGAATCCATTACTTTGTCAAACAAAAGGGACAGATGCTGACAATATCTTTGCTGCATTTCAGATTGATGGCACGTGAATTTCTTCAGTGTAAAAAGTCTAAGTTTAGAAAGTGTTTATACAGAGAGCAGATTAAACGCTGGACAATGTGGAAATGTAAACTCTAAACTCAAAGGCTGGGTTCACATTTTTGTTAATGCACAAAGTTAACTTGGGTTACATTGTGCATTAACGGGTGTTGTGTTAGGTCAGCCCATTCAATGGAATGGGCTCCCTAATACACTTTATTGCATTAAGAAAATAGGCGTGTACTTTTTAAAGGCAGTGCACCACAAAGCACAGTAATGTTACTGAGCGTTGTGTTGCGCTAAAACGCACAGTGCGTTGGAGTGCCGCCAATAATGAATTTCGCCTGCAGAACAAAAGGTGTACACCTAACATTTATTTTTTTTAAGCATGTTTGGCATCATACCGCACCGTGCACAGTTTTCTAAAGTAAATTATTTGTTCTGAATCTGTTGCAAAGTTTCTTGCCTCAAGATCCTGTCAGTAACCGCACTTCCTGCTGCAGGCTGACAATGCTAGGCCATTGCAGCAGAGCTGACAGCCAGCCATGTGCACCACTTTAGTTGGCCATTGGATTGTCCATCAGGTCTCTAATTAGTATGGCAGGATGAACATGCCGAGTGTGGCTCGGGGTTACCGCTTTAGGCACTACAAATTAACCCCGAGCCACACTCGGGAATACCGCCAGGAAGGTTAAAGTTTTAGGGAATGTTTGGGATAAAGATTAGTATATAATGAATACTGATACAGAAGAACCCAGAGCATGGTCTTGTGCGATTAAAATATACGTTTATTAAACATATATACATGGCGCTATATTAGCAAAGGGGAAAGTGCTATATTTACAGTGCAAGGATATATTTATACCATTTGAGCCATTTATGTAAAGAAGTTGATTAACATATGACCTATCCCTCATTAATACCTTCCAAACTCACTTATGTTACCCTCTAGATATCAAATTTCCAGAAGACGGTCTTACTATTTAGCCAATGAGTTGGCTGGGTATGGGGCAACACAACATTAACCATGCCTAATATAAACAGTTGGCACCTTTCACACATTTCTGGTTAATAGCTCTCCACCTAAGTGGAAGAGCTAAGGGAACACAACCATGACCACCAGGCCTTTACCCTGACTAACACCATGTTTACAATTCTCCAACAATAGCTGGTTGTGAAAACAAAAATTTCTTGTCCATTTTATTCTCTTAAAACATCACCAAAAGTACCCCATTAAAAACAATATACCAGTTTTGTATGTGCAATGTACAGTGACCATGCACTGCTGTTTTTATCAATCTATCCAGCAATAAAGGAGGCTGCCCTAGTTTCTTAGTACCAGTCATCCTTTGCAAGGGCTAGAGTGACTGAAGAGACATTCACACAGTTTCCCCCACTTGTCAGTACTCGTCAGTGTCTACAGCACACAAAGCATTTATCAAGGCACATTTTTAGCAACTGAAAGCTCTCTATGGAGAGTAAATCCAGCAGATGGCAATATACCTAAATACATACAGTAGTTCCACAGTTTAGTACATATTAATGCTCTCCCGAATGCACCACAAATGCATCTAAATTTATTTTGGAGAGGTCAGCATTCAGGAACCTTCTGAACCAATATAGCCTAGTAAATCACAACCATATCAAGTAACCAATAATCAATCACTATGGAGTAAGCACAACATTAAAGAACTGCAGGTAAACTGGTCCCATCTGAATGGCTCATAATTAAAAATGAGGGACACTTGATAAGCATCAAATTAATGACAACATTAAGCTCGTATCTGCTGCAAATCTATCTGCCTCTCAGTTAGCAAAGTATACTGTATACCACAGATTATTTCTCTATTTGTGACCCCTGCATGTACAGTCCTAGGAAGCCAACTGAGATAGTTTTGCTCAGCACTCTAGATGAGACAGATTTTCATGCAAAACACATGCACATTAAAAAGCGTTCATGGGCAGGTTATATATTTATATATATATTCACAGCACTATGTATGCCAATGTATTTTTGTGTCTTTTTTACTTGTACTTCATTAGACAGAAGTGAGCTAATTAAGAAAATAAGATTTACCAAACTATGCAGGGAGCAAAGCGAACATTTATAAAAGTTGTCTGTACTAGATAAATGCAACTCCAGCCTTTAAGGTAAATTCATCCATGTGCACATAGGCTAACCCCCTTTGAGTAAGCCAGCGTGAATAAAAATAAGATGGTCTTCCTTTATACCCCAATTCCTAGCATACACTTCCACCTAGAGAGATGCATGCTGCCCCTCACTGGCACATAAGGATGCTTACCTATTAGTGCATAAGAAAGAAATTTGTTCACAGATGTCAGAGCAAGCCCAGTAATGGGGCCAGTTGTATCCTCAGAACGAATAACCTCCAGGAAAGGACGAAGAAATACATTGGGTTCTATTTCCGATATATCTGAAAAAAAGAAGAAAAAAAAAAGAACACTCATTATTATGCTAGCCCAAACATAGGCAGAAAAGCGAAAAAGATGAAAACAAAGACCCAGGCTTATATATACTATGAATACACTGAAGTTAACATTCCAGGAGACCGTATAATTACTGAATAACACTTCACAATAAATACAGAAAATCACACACTTCTAGAATCACACACTTCTAGATCTATCTAGCCATATAACCGATTCCCTGTGACAAAACTAATAGATCCAAATATTCGGTTCTTAAAATAAAATCTGTTAGGGCAGTAGAATGAGCAGAACCATTGCTGAGGTTATCATAGGTTCAGGGGTCCACTGAAGTCTGAAATTTGCTAGCCTGTCAACTGCCATTTGAAAAGCAGCAATGTGACTTTAGGTTACCTCTTAAACCAGACACTATAGCTTAAAGTAGACCGTTACCCCATTTCACTAAAAATCATATATCAGCATGCACCTCTGCATGCCGATATAGAATCATCTTACATTCATTAAACAAAAACATTTTTAATATACTTACAAATAGACTTTATCCAATTCCTGGTCCACTTTGACAAAAATTATGCAATATGCCCAAGCATTGCAACCTGGGAAGATTACATCAGCAGAGCATTACTGGGAAATCTCATTTGTAATCTCACAAGATCTCAGGGAAAGGCATTTTCCTCCCCTGAGATGATGTGCATGGTAACATGTCCTAGTCATATGTGCCAGAGTTCCAGGAAGTATAGGGAGAATGATTAACCTGCCCTTAGCAAAAATTGTCACGGTCATAAGAAAGAAAAGAGAAACAAGGTATGTAAAGAATACAAAGCTTATAATTCTCTAGACGTATGTGATTGTAGATTGTCATTACTAAACATTTCTAAAGGTGCCTTTGTAGTTATATTAAAGATATTGGTAAAGTTCCTCTTTAAGTGCAAGACCTACAGTAAATAGGTATATTTTCTTATTCCATAAGTCCAATTATGGTGCTTTTCAATGTTAAAAACTTTAGTCAAAACCTCTCATGATATTCATGATATGGAATTTTCACCCACTTCATCAGGATGGGAGGTGAGGGGAAATCTCTCCAACAGGATACAAATGGCACTAAAGGGTTGATAAAGGTTCTACTCTTACCTCCTCATTTCAGCATAAATCATATATATATAGACAAGGTCACTGTACAATTGGGGTCCCCATCAGGACATTGTGTAGGATGTTGACTTAGGAGGCAATAACGACATACTAGGTCTAAAATACACTGCTATTCCTGGATAAATAGCCTTTCAGTGACTGTTTCTACTATGTAATAGATGTGCCTGTTCCAAAGAAAAGTAAGGATAGAGAAACAATTTAGGAAATATATTTTTGTCTTGACCATGAATATATTGCATGAACCTGCCAAAGTAAAACAGTCAGGGAAATTTAAAAAAAGTGTTGTTGACACACATAAGGAAAGTGTCTCAGGGTTACAGGAATAGTGTAATTTGTGCCAAATTCATGTACAAGGCTGCATGGCATTCATGAATTCGACGCAAACCTATGAAACTGGTGCTTGCTTGCGAGACAAACCTTGAGACAGATATATGCACACTGATAAGGTACAAAGATGTGTTGCATCTCTGTCCAAAGTGTTGCATATGTGTCCGAGACAGATTTCAGTTGGATACTCTGCTTTAAGGAATGTTGCACTTGAGTTATGTCTCGTATACTGCGACAGACATATACAATATGAAAGTGTGACAGACTAGCTACACCAAAAAACACTTGGTCTTGCTTTGCATCAGTGTTCTTATTACCAAAACGTTGGAGTTTATTTATTGAACATGTCACAACAGCAGCTACAGAAAACCTTATAGCACAAATAAAAACTACTTGAATTTGGCACAGGAGTCTGGAGACAATTTGGCGCAGAGGTCTGGAGACAATGCAGCATGTTTTAGAATTTAGCGCAGGCATCTCATATGCTGCAACAATGTAAACTTAATTAGGGTGCACCGATACTTTTCAGATACCAGTGCCGATACTTTTGTGAGAACTACTAGGGCTGCAGCGGTTGAAGCTGGGACCTGGCTCTGGCGCTCCACCACTGTCCTGAAATCATTAGCCTGTATTGTTTTAGAAAAACTGTCACATGACAATAAACAAAAATGTATCAGTAAGTACTTGGGTAAGTACCAGTACTTGTACTTGCAAAAATGGTATTGGTGTATCCCTATATATATATA